TATAGAATCTGAAAGAAACAGTAGAACAGATCAACGAAATGAAGAGTTGGTTTTCTGAGAAAATAAACAAAATTGATAAACCCCTAGCCAGACTTCTCAAAAGGAAAAGAGAGAGGACCCAAACAGATAAAATCATGAATGAAAATGGATTTATCACAACCAATCCCTCAGAAATATAAGCAAGTATCAGAGAATACTATGAAAAATTATATGCCAACAAACTGGACAACCTAGAAGAAATGGGCAAATTCCTGGACACCTATACACTACCAAAACTCAAACAGGAAGAAACAGAAAATTTGAACAGACCCATAATTAATGAAGAAATGGAATCAGTTATCAAAAATCTCCCAACAAATAAGAGTCCAAGACCAGATGGCTTCCCTGGAGAATTTTACCAGACATTTAAAGCAGAGTTAATACCTATCCTTCTTAAGCTTTTCAAAAAAATAGAAATGGAAGGCAAACTTCCAGACTCATTCTATGAAGCCAGCATTACCTTGATTCCCAAACCAGACAGAGACCCCACAAAAAAGTAGAATTACAGGCCAATATCCCTGATGAACATGGATGCAAAAATTCTCAACAAGATACTAGCAAATCAAATTCAACAGTATAGAAAAATAATTATTCAGCATGATCAAGTGAGATTCATTCCTGGACTGCAGAGCTGGTTCAATATTCACAAATCAATCAATGGGATACATCACATAAATAAAACAAAGGATAAGAACCATATGATCCTGTCAATAGATGCAGAAAAAGAATTGACAAAATACCAGCATCCTTTCTTAATAAAAGCCCTCAAGAAAGTCAGGAAAGAAGGAACATATTTAAACATCATAAAAGCCATATATGAAAATCCCATAGCTAATATCACCCTCAATAAGGAAAAACTGACAGCTTTCCCCCTGAAATGAGGAACACAACAGGGATTTCCACTCTCACCACTGTTGTTTAACAGAGTGTTGGAAGTCCTAGCTTCAGCAATCAGACAACAAAATGAAATAAAACGTATCCAAATCAGCAAGGAAGAAGTCAAACTTTCCCTCTTCACAGATGACATGATACTATACATGGAAAACCTGCAAGACTCCACCCAAAGACTGTTAGAACTGATACATGAATTCAGCAAAGTCGCAGGGTACAAAATCAATGTACAGAAATCGGTTGCATTTTTATACACCCATAATGAAGCAACAGAAACATAATTAAAAAACTGATCCCATTTACAATTGCACCACGAGCCATAAAATAGCTAGGAATAAACCTAACCAAGATGTAAAAGATCTATAAGTTGAAAATTATAGAAAGCTTATGAAGAAAATTGAAGAAGACACAAAGAAATGGAAAAAAAAAAACATTCCATGCTCATTGATTGGGAGAATAAATATTGTTAAAATGTCAATACTACCCAAAGCAATCTACACATCCAATGCAATCCCAATCAAAATTGCACTGGCATTCTTCTCAAAGCTAAAATAAACAATACGGAAAGTTGTATGGAACCACAACAGACCCCAAATAGCCAAAGTAATATTGAAGAAGAAAACCAAAGTGGGAGGCATCACAATCTAGACTTTAGCCTCTACTACAAAGCTGTAAGCATGAAGACAGTATGGTACTGGCACAAATACAGGCACATAGACCAATGGAATAGAATAGAGAACCCAGAACTGGACCCACAAATATATGGTCAACTAATCTTTGACAAAGCAGGAAAGAGAATCCAATGGAAAAGACAGTCTTTTTAGCCAATGGTGTTGGGAGAACTGGACAGCACAGGCAGAAGAATGAAACCAGACCACTTTCTTACACCATACACAAAAATAAACTCAAAATGGATGACAGACCTAAATGGAAGCCATCAAAACCTTAGAGGAGAAAGCAGGCAACAATCTCTTTGGCCTCAGCTGCAGCAATTTCTTGCTCAACACATCTCCAAAGGAAATGGAACTAAAAGCAAAAATGAACTCTTGGGACTTCCTCAAGATTAAAAGCTTGCAGAGGAAACTGCAAAGGAAATAATCAACAAAACTAAAAGGCAACTGACGGAATTTGAAAAGATATTTGCAAATGACATATCAGAAAAAGGGTTAGTATCAAAAATCTATAAAGAATTTACCAAACTCAACATCTGTAAAATAAATAATCCAGTGAAGAAATGAGCAGAAGACATGAATAGACACTTTTCCAAGGAAGACATTCAGATGGCCAAGAAACACATGAAAAGATGCTGCTGAACATCACTCATCATCAGGGAAATACAAATAAAAGCTGCACTGAGATACAGCCTCACACTGGTCAGAGTGGCTAAAATGTTTATTTATTTTTGAGAGAGAGAGAAAGAAAGAGAGAGAGAGAGAGACAGAGTGGGAGGGAGGTGCAGAGAGAGAGGGAGACACAGAATCCGAAGCAGGCTTCAGGCTCTGAGCTGTCAGCACAAAGCCCAACACAGGGCTCAAACTCATGAACCACGAGATCATGACCTGAGCCTAAGTCAATGCTTAACCGAGACACCCAGTATGATTATTTTTAAAAATCAGTAGCCTACCTTGTATGCATTCTTCAATATTATTAGTAGGGGCTAATATGTTGAGTGACAAGACTGACTACAATTTAGCATATGTATGGTGTTTTATTTCTTTGTAGAATTATGATCATATTTTCTTAGAGTTCAAGGTGACCCAAGTTCAATTTTCTCTCCAAAGCAGACTTTTTTCCTCTGTGTAACAAAATAAGTTTTGATTTGGAAACCAGGGACAAAGTAGGATAAGTTGATTTTTCTTAAATAAAAGAAATATGGTATCTTGCACATCTGAGCTAATAGTTTAAGATTCATCTTACTATATTCTTAATCACACCTAGTAGGATAATCCCTTTAACCCACTTCAAAGAAGGGAACAAGTAAGGTCCTATGTTATTCAAATCAAAACAGATTAAGGCTTCATACTGACCTGCCCTTCGTGATAATAAGCTTCTCTCCTCCCTTGTAGTCATCTTCTTTATGGTAATCCTAATTGCCCAGAGGGCTTACACACATTCATCATATCCTGTAAGGAAGAGCTTCACCTTGAAACTGGAGTTTGTCAAAACTACCTCCATAAATTCGCTCTGCTGGGTCATGCTTTATGGCCGAAAGTGAAGGCTATTTTCTTTTCTTTTCTTTTCTTTTCTTTTCTTTTCTTTTCTTTTCTTTTCTTTTCTTTTCTTTCCTTTCCTTTTCTTTTCTTTTCTTTTTATTTTTCTTTTCTTTCTTTCTTTTTTTTTTTTTTTAGTGCTTATTTAAAGAGAGAGAAAGAGACAGAGTGAGAGTGGGGAAAGGGCAGAGAGAGAGAGGGAGACACAAAACCCGAAACAGGCTCCAGGCTCTGAGCTGTCAGCACAGAACCCAACGTCGGGTTTGAACTCATGAACTGCAAGATCATGACCTGAGTCAAAGTTGGACACTTAAATGACTGAGCTGCCCAGGTGCCCCTAGTGAAGGCTATTTTCAATGAAATTCTCCCCTCATTGATGTTGCCCCAGCTGCTATGCAATAACCCTGGCCATGTACAGAAGATTCTTTGGGTTGATCTTGTTTTCCTCCTGCACTGATGCTCCTCTGGGAAATCTTTAAACAAAGCATCTATGACTCTGAAGAACACTGGGCTATTGCTATCACTGGGGCCCTTAAAGCACTTTGTTTCCATTCATTTCCAGTTGTCAGCCCTGATGCCAAGAACTTCTTGAGGGAGAAGAGGATCACTCAACCTTACTGCTCCCACAGAGTCAGACAGTTGCATTCATTGTTTCTTGCCAACCTGTTTGTCCTGTAGTAGTTTCTTAAGGTATACACTGAAAGGAAAAAATAATAATAACTTACTGTTTCCTGGGAGAGTTACATCCAATGATAACTTTTACATGGCAAAATAGGCCTGGGTTTCAAGGAATGTGTTCCTTCAACACACGTGTGAGTTAGAAACGTACCGGATTCTGCCTTTCCAGACATCCTCCCACTACGTGTGTATAAAAATTTTGTAGTACCCATTTATATTTGCTGGGCAAGTGTGTCATTGCTTTAGTCTCTCAGCCTAACTACTATCATTGATGGAAGCTTAACTATTCATACCACAGACTCATAAATAAGGTACCATAACCATAAATAGGCATAAACAAGACAAGCAGTTGACTTAATAATACATTCCTCAAATTGTAGGGCATGAGCTCATGAGGCACATCTTTGTAAGTGTCAGCTCAGGAAAAAACAAACCTTTAAAATCGCAGTGAGTCATGGACACATTGTTTTCCTATGTAGCCCTGCATCCCTCTTTATAATGGCAACTGCATACCGTCAAGTCAATCTTGCATCACCCAAAACTTCTTTAAACTAAGCATTGTGGATTTGTGAGAGTACAAATGATACCCCAGACTGTGGGTGCAGAAGCAGAGTTTAACATTGTCTGCCATACAAGAAAAATTCATTCTCCTCCTGGCTCCATGATATTCCCATGCCAGTATCTCTTGCTTGGATCCACTAAGGTAATTTTCCTTTTTCAGGTTTTAATGAGCTTGGGAAACAGAGAAAGCATGTCAAAAAGTAGAAGAAAGGAAAGGAAAGAAAACAAACACGATGCTCTACTATGCCTTCTCATTTAACCCTGGAAAACAGTGCAAAGAATTATTCACAGATGAGGACATGTGGCATGAAAAGTTGATACCTATGATTATGTAGTCTGTTGCAAATCTTGAATTTGCAGGAATTTGACTCCACAACCCATCATGCTATTATACTACTGCTAGAAGTCTCTTTTAATACTCATACTTTTTTTTTGGATTAAAAATCCAAATTTTATTTTTAACCTGTATCATTTAAATCTCAAATACTTGGGGCACCTGTGTAGCTCAGTAGGTTGACAATCCAGCTTCGGCTCAGGCCATGATCTCGCAGTTCATGGGTTCGAGTTCCACGTCGGGCTCTTGCTGACAACTCAGAGCCTGGAGGCTGCTTTGGCTTCTGTGTCTCTCTCTCTCTGCCCCTCCCCTGCTTGTGGGTGCATTTTCTCTCTCTCTTTCAAAAATAAACATTAAAAAAATAATAAAAAATAAATCACAAATACTTGGTATGAACACTATTAAGTACTAAAACATGGCAAGTCATAATACAACCTTAAGTAGTGGGATCCTTTAGTATTTCAAAGTTCTTCTACATACATTACCCCTTACATTTCTCTCAACAGTATAAGATGAATATTCTTACATCATCTCTTTTTAAAAAATAGAGAAGTCAAGATTTAGAGAGGTGACTGACTTGTGGGACATGGCATGGCAGTGCTTTTGTCAGAATGTGAAGCTGGGTCTTCTGGTTCCAAGTCCAGAATAGCTGCATTACTCTGCTCTGTTCAGAGTGCTTTGTTGAGGAAACATCTGTAGCTTCTTCTTCCTGGGGGCAGAGCATCAGGAGAAGGGCAACAAAGAGTATACATGCTTTCTCAGTTATCTTTGACAGTGGTTTCCTTACACTAACAATTTCAAGAGTTGTCCTCCCTCCATTTCCTTCCTCCTCTCCACTGAGAGTCTACGGAGTGTTTTATATTCACCGTGGTAGGTATTTGGGCTTTCTCATCCTGGAGATATGCTACCTCTCTCCCTTCGCTTGTTATGACCATATGTAATGAGAAGTTCAAACACAACCAGACTGTTTGTACTGTGGATGCAGGAACCTTGCTGCTACTTGGAAAGCCTAACAGCAAAAACCAGTCCTGCTGGCTGCCATCTCTGCCAAGGGGAGAAGGCTTTCTGTTCACTTATCCACTCAAATGGAAGCTCTTCCTCGGCTTGGGTAACATTTCCTCTTAATTACCTTAATTTTCTTGAGACATTATTCATGTCCAAATTCCTTTCCTTGGCAGATAGGGACCTGAGGGCTTTGCTCTTGGCTGAGGTTCTGAAAACTTGCTCTGAGTTTGATAATAACATGAAACTTCACAGAGGAATAGATTGTAAAGCAAAGGGGAAATTGGAGGCCAGAATCTTGGGGAAAGTGAAGTTGGGAGTCAAGTGGCACAAATATAGAAATTTTTCTAAAGGGCAAAGAGATGAGCCATAGGAGAAAATCAACTCTAAGGCCAAGAGACCAGGACCAAGGTGAAGAGAAAGGCAAGGGCTAGCCTAGAAGTGCCTACAAGGAGCATGAGGAATTTTTTAAAGCACCCGAGATACAAAACCCTTTTTCAGAAGTCCAAGGGCACCAACTTTGTTCTAATCTCTTTATTCTTCACTTAAAAATATCAATTTCAGGGGCATCTAGGTGGCTTAGTTGGCTGGACATCTGACTCTTCATTCGACTCTTGATCCCAGGGTCATGAGATTGAGCCTCACTTTGGGCTGCACGCTGAGCATGGGACCTGCTTAAGATTATTTCTTTCTCTTGAGGCACCTGGGTGGTTCAGTCAGTTAAGCACCCAACTTCGGCTCAGGTCATGATCTCACGGTTCATGAGTTCGAGCCCTGCATCAGGCTCTGTGCTGATAGCTCAGAGCCTGGAGCCTGCTAAGGACTCTATGTCTCCCTCTCTCTGCCCCACCCCCACTTGTGCTCTCTCTCTCAAAAATAAATACACATTAAACTAATTTAAAAAAAGATTGTTTCTCTCTCCCTCCTTCTACCCCTCTTCCTCCACTCTCGCTCTTTCTCTCTATATAATAAAATAAATAAATAAAATTTTAAAAACTCAATTCCAAGTGGGATGGAGGGGAATGAGGTCTCAAGAACCCCAAGTCGAGTTGGATACTCCACTGAGAGACAGCAAATTATCCTGGGCTCAGTCAAAGGGAATTCAAAGACATATAAGCAATCCCAGCAAGATTTATACCTAAAAATATTAATTTTCATGAGTCATTTACTAATATTTCAATGTTACAAGAGCAGGTCCCTAGCTTCCTAGCCATTTTATTTCTACCCAGTGCTTGAGTTGATATTTGACACTGAGCCTAAAACTCCCTATTCTTATTAAATCAGTTATTTTAATTTACCTCCCCTGACTCGTATAGGCATCTGAGATTGCAGTTTCCACTCTAGAGGCATTAACAAACTTTATCTCCATTCCTTTCCTTTTTTTTTTTTTTTCTTTTCTTTTCACTCAGGAATCTCAATTCCAGTGCCTCAAAACTTTAACCAGTCCCAAAGTAGTTCCTCTCCTTCCAAGATTTCTGGGGAGCTTACTTTGTTCTTGTCACCCTTACCATGTTGCTTAATTAATGAACTATTAAACAACTCTACAGACATTAATATGATATAGATCATGTCATGAGGCAGTACATGATTAATTTTCAAATGTGCATCAAAAGCTATAACTTAGGAGAGTGAGGCTAGAAATTATTTCTTTTTTTTTTTTTTTTAAGGAAAAGTATACAAAGCTCTTTGCCTTTTGTGACTTGAACATATCTAAACTTACATTGTCTGGGGACATGAAAATCTATTATGTAACACTTTGCTGATGTAAACAATTTAGTTTGTTATATTTAAGATATGATATGTACTTGTATTATTGAAAAAAATATGGAGAGGGGCGCCTGGGTGGCGCAGTCGGTTAAGCGTCCGACTTCATCCAGGTCACGATCTCGCGGTCCAGGAGTTCGAGCCCCGCGTCGGGCTCTGGGCTGATGGCTCAGAGCCTGGAGCCTGTTTCCGATTCTGTGTCTCCCTCTCTCTCTGCCCCTCGCCCTTTCATGCTCTGTCTCTCTCTGTCCCAAAAATAAATAAACGTTGGAAAAAAAGAAAAAAATATGGAGAAAAGGAATCTACGTACTCTTATCTCTTATTTTTTTAGAAGTTAGGAAATAATAGGAATCAAAAGCTTAGAAAAAATCATCTGAATTTTTCTCTTTTTATCCCTGGGTCTTCAGATGTCTAGTGACTGGTCAATGGAAGCATACAGACTGAACCTGGATAAATTTTGTGGAGGAATCACTTTTGAAGGGTGGGAAAGATTTACATAAGCGGAGCAGAAGTGAAGTGGAGGGACGATTCACCCTAGTCAGAAAAGTGTACATATGAGCACAAACACAGCAATATAAAAGGTTGTTACAGAGACTTTTGAGGCAGAGATGGGCAGAAGTACAAGCTTGAGGTGATAAGGATCTTATTTTCTCCTTAAAAGTACTCCAAACTAGGGGTAGCTGGGTGGCTCAGTTAGTTAAGATCTGACTTTTGATTTCAGCTCAGGTCATAGTCTCTGGGTTCATGAGATCCTACCCCTCATCAGGCTCTGTGCTAACAGCACGGAGCCTGCTTAGGATTCTCTCTCTCCTTCTCTCTCTGCCCCTCCCCCACTTGTGCCTCCCCACCGTCAATCAATCAAAATGAACAAATAAACATTCTTTTTAAAAAAGGTACACCAATCTAGCTGAAAACTGAGTGTGATACATTTTTTCTTTTAATAAATTCAGCCAATGAAGACATATTTACAATTTACTCAACAAGTACTTATAGAGTGCCTTCCCTTATATGACAAATATGCGTGTTATATTCTCAACAAAGCCAAGAACAAGGAAGTTATTTACATATAACTGTAATTAGCATATTTTATGAGTCAAAAGTTTGAACACTGACGTGCCCCTGAAAATCCGGGGAAGATGGTTCGCAATTATAACGAGTAAATAGGTATAAGCAAGAACAAGGGGGATCCATTTACCTCGGAGAGGGACGACGATACAAGTGTTGCCCAGAGGTGGAATTGAAAGAACCCCAAGACTGACAGTATGGGACACAGCATGAGCTATGGGAATCATCTCAATTCAAATTAAGAACACCATCACAGGATGCTAAGTGAAACACAAGCACCTGCCATATAATAGAAGCTCAATAAATGTTTATTGAATGAATGAGTAAATGACTCAAAGTCGTCTGACAAGTGTCCTTGTTTGGCAGTCAACATAGCGCTTGATGGCACAATAAGCAGGCATCTGCTTCCCACATATAATTTTATTACTTTCAAAGACAATTAAGAAAAAACAAAGCTCCAATAATTTAAAAAAAGAAATAAATATTAAGCTTGCCCGCCTTTGAGTTTAAACAATGTTCGTAATTGCCAATGATCTATTTCTTCAAATTTGTGGGGTCACATTACATGCTTATTTTATCATCTTTTATTCCTTATAAATCCTTTTTAAATTTTTTATATTTAAAAAAATTTAGTGTTTTTTTAATTTTTGAGAGAGAGAGAGAGAAAAAAAAAAAAACTGCAAGCAGAAGAGGGGCAGAGGAAAAGGGAGACACAGAATCTGAGGCAGGCTCCAGGCTCTGAGTTTCAGCACAGAGCCCGACACGGGGCTCAAACTCACGAACCATGAGGCATGACCTGAGCCAAAGTCAGATGCTTAACCGACTGAGCCACACAGGAGTTCCCTTATAAATCCTTTCTTAATAAATTAGTTGAAAATAAGTAAAAATAAGATGAATTTAAAAAAAAAAACAACTCATTGCTTTGTCCCCTGCCAATCTCTAGAGTTAGGGAAAGATTATAGCTGAAGCTGAAGTTGAAGGAGAATGAGCCCTCCTATGCAGAAGGTCTAGGAACATTATGGAGTCCATTCTGCTGGCATTCGGGAGGGTTTTACTAATCAGTTCATTTGTCTGTTTTTCTATCCATAACGAAATTTTGTAAAAAGTCTGAACATATGATTAAACACATTTTTTTAAAGAATGCCATGTAAAACCCATGACACTAACTTGACTCTACAGAAGATGTTATGGAGCCAGTTTAACCTGGTTTATATCTGCCACTGAATTCAGTACTGAGAAGCACAGGGTCTGCACTAAGGAGATGATCCTTTCTCAATGTTTAAACTATTAGTGAACTGGGTCTGAATTTCCATGTCAAAGTTTTCTGCAGTTTGATCAAAATTTGATCAAGTCAGCTATTGTCCATTAATCTGCTGGCATCTTCACCAGGGGCACCCCTGAGAAAGTTCAGCATTGTCTTCCAAGGAAGTGAAAACCACTCCAGACCTCAAGTGTTCCTAATCAATGACAGTATTATTAGAATATCAGGGATGCAGGAGTGGGCTTTTTTCCAAGCCCACTTGGAACCTTAATTGTCTGCACTTATTTAAAATTAGGCATGCAAACTTACTTGACTGTTATTTTCTATTCAAATTCATAACAGCTTAAAAAGTACTTTTAAAAATAGATTTTAGGGGCGCCTGGGTGGCGCAGTCGGTTAAGCGTCCGACTCCAGCCAGGTCACGATCTCGCGGTCTGTGAGTTCGAGCCCCGCGTCGGGCTCTGGGCTGATGGCTCAGAGCCTGGAGCCTGTTTCCGATTCTGTGTCTCCCTCTCTCTCTGCCCCTCCCCCGTTCATGCTCTGTCTCTCTCTGTCCCAAAAATAAATAAACGTTGAAAAAAAAAATTAAAAATAGATTTTACCTAACATGATACTTAATGGTGAAAAGCTAGGATTTTTCTGCTAAGATCAGGAAAACAGCAAGAATGTCCCCCTCTCACCACTCCTTTTCAACATTGTACTAGAAGTCCTAGCTAATGCAATAAGACAAGTAAGGAAACAGAAGGTGTGTAGATTGAGAAGGAAGAAATAAAACTGTCTTTGCTCACAGATAACATAATTATGTAGAAAGCCAGATACAATTGCCAAGAAAACTTGACTAAAGAAGTGATTATAACAAGATTACAGTATTCAAGAGTAATATATGAAAGTCAATCACTTTTTTATACACCAGCAATGAGCAAGTGAAATTTGCAATTCAAAGCAGAATAAGATTTATGTTATTACCCTCCAAAATAAAATTCTTAGGTATAAATATAACAGAATATATATAAGGTCTATATGAGGAAACCTATAAAACTCTTATGAAAGAAATCAAAAAAGAACTAAATGGGGAGATATCCCATGACCATGGGTAGGGAAACTCATTGTCAAGATGTTAATTATTCTCGACTCTATCTATAGATGCAATGCAATTCCAATCAAAATTTCAACAATTTATTTTGTGGGTATCAACAAATGGATTCTAAAGTGTATATTAATTGGCGAAAGACTCAAAATAGCCAACACAATATTGAAGGAGAAGAACAAAGTCAGAAGACCATTTATTTATTTTGACAGAGATAGAGAGGGAGAGAGACATAATGCTTGAATGAGTGTGGGAGAGGTAGAGACAGAGAGAGAATACCAAGCAGGCTCTGCATTGTCAGCACAGAGCCAGACTCAGGGCTCAATCATGAATTGTGAGATCACGACCTGAGCGGAAATCAAGAGTCAGATGCTTAATTGACTGAGACACATAGGTGCTCCAAACTAAAGTCTATTAAAAAAAAAAAAAGAAACAACTATAAAGTAAAAAGTTTATTAAAAAATAGAATTAAACATTTGCAGAACCTGAAATGCCTGTAAGAAATCTTCAGTTATCTAAAATAGCTTGAAACCCACCAAATGATACTTTCCTTCATTTTGTAACTAATAATAACGCAATAAAAAAATCACAATACATTTATTATATTACAATACATATATAATATATACATATGTTAACAATGCAGTTAACACCTCTTAAGGAACTTTACTAAATCTTTGCAAAAATTATCTTCTTTGTTCCTCACTGCAACCATATGAGCCAAGTATTGTCTTAACTCATTTTATGCAGATGTACAGAGAAAATTGATGAATTGCTCGAGGTCACAGAGCAAGTAAATAGAAGAGACAGTGTCAACCCAAAACTCTTGCACCTTGTACTTTTTTTGAAACCATGCCCCATAAGGTTAGTAAGATTGAAAGCTTGTTTAAAGCTTGTTTCTCAGAGAACTGTTTCTCCCTAATCAGCTATTATGTTTTTTCAGACCCCACTAACAAATCCACTAGCTGTCTCTGCAAAAACCAGGACTCAAGGTCAACTGATAAGGGTTCTAACCTATGAACAAGCAAGACCCTGCTTTCCTTACCTGAGGTAATGAGCCTAAGACTCCATCCAGTTTATACTGGCTCTCAGGACATCCTGAAGCAACCTCCTGATGTCAGGGGCTGAATTTTGCCTCATTCTGATGCTAAGTCTGTACCCCAAAGTTAACACAGGATGTATGTTTTACGTGTTTGTTAAATGTGTATTCTCCATCTTTCCTCACGAAGAGTCATACGTTTCCCTGCCCTCTTCATCAATATGTTTGTATTCTCAACCCCTATGATTATTAAAAAAACTTGTTCTGTCCCCCTTCAGGGAGGCAGATTTGAGGCTTGTCCTCCCATCTCCTCTCCTTGTTTTGCCTGCCTCTCCAATACACTCTTTCCTTGCTGCAAACCTGATGTCTCAGTGATTGGCTTTGCTACATACACATAGTGCAGATGTACTTGGGTTTGGTTACACTTTATTTGGTCTCTTATTCCCAGGAGTTGAGCAGGACTTAGAACAGCCAGTATGAAAAAAGACTGAGTACACACAGTGCATCTGTGCCCTTAAGACTTTGCTCTGTTAGTTTTCCAAAAGGCTGCCTAAAGGAGAACAGAGAGCAAATCTAGTGCTGCCCAGAGGTGCCCTTTCTGCTCTGAAGGTGAACAGAAACAGAAAATGCTAAAGAGGCCATTGAAAGAGTGTTCTCGTACTTTCTATTCTCCATTCAGGCACCCACACATGTTCTCTGAGAGGCTATTATGTGAAGATGTTGTTCTGGGCACTGGAAGTATAGGAGTAGACAAGACAGAAAAGGTTCATATTCCGGCAGAGGAAACAGCTAATGTGAATGAAGGCCCTGAGTTGGGAATGCACAGATGCGCGGAAGCAGTCAGCTACCTGTGGTTGATCCCCAGCGAATGTAGGAGAAGGCTCTGTAGAAGAGGTCAGCCAGGAGGAAGAGTCTCTGGTAGCCTGGGAGGGCCAACGGCAGGACAGAAGTCTGGTTTACATTTTATTCCATTCATGTGTTTCCTCCTGATACGCTTTCTGCTTCCTTCCATTTATGCCTATGTGCTGACCTCAGTGCAGATGGAGATCATATGGCTACTGGGCAGTGAGGCCTGAGTGGTGCCATTGCCTGTCAGAAAAGTTTATTAGGTTAAAAAGAGAGAGGAGTGGAAGATACAATTGAGCTCTGTTTCCGGAGCCACAGAGCTGGCACCAGGTTCTGCTGAAGGCGGCACAAACCACAGCCTTGTTTCCCAATTGGCATTGCCCACCACGGCCTCTTCACAGCAGAGAGTTCTGGAATAGGCAGTTAGATTCATTATTACCATACCAAGTATGTCGATGGTGCTTTAGAAGTGGGAAGCACTTTGCAGAACTGTTTTTAGCTGCCCCTTGAATAGTTTTCCAAATAAGGAGTTGTGACATCTGCCTCCCTAGGGATTCCTCTTTGATCCTTTATTTCCAGTAAGACTGAAATTCTGTGTTCCCCTACACATTGTTATTCCTCTCTCCTGGCTAACTTTTTCAGATTCCTTATTTCCAGCCTCAGAGTCACTTTCATCAGAAAGATTTCTCAGATCCGTCCCAGGCTGACATCAGTTGGGCTTTTTTTTTTTTTTAAATCTCATAGAGGCTTTTGTGTACAGAAAACAATGCTTACAGTAGCCTGTGTTATCACTGACATTCAATCGCCTACAGTTATAAATTGAAAAACTTATTTTTTCTGAGCTTTTAAACACAATTGCAAAAATATAGTAAACTAAGAATTTTTAGTTTGAAATTAAATGCAGTTTGTACTTATTGTTAGGTTAGCTTATACTTTAACAAAATTTGCGTAATCCTTTAGATACTATATATAAAACTATCTCATACTTTAAATGTATATAATTCAATAAATGAACGTGTGAATCCGATAATTTGAACGTTCTTACATATTTAAACACATTTTACAGACCTGGTTACTTACATTCTTGTGAATTTTCCAGCTGCAGTCATATTTCATATAATGTATTTCCTCAAGAATCTCAAGCACTTAAGAAAACAGACATACAAACCCCATAAACCTCCATAAGCACATACACAACTTTAATAAAACTAAATATAAAACTTTCATATTTACATATAATTCTCTTAAGTATTTTAGCTTCTTAAAAGCTAAACTCACCAGAGGCACTAAGGAATCTACTCCTGAAATCATTGTTGCACTATATGGTAACTAATTTGGATATAAATTTTTAAAAATTAAAAAAAGAAAAGCTAAACTCACCAAAGTAATCTTGAGAAAGAAGAACAAAGCTGGAGCTATCAGCAATCCCAGATTTCAAGATATACAAAAAGCTGTAGTAATCAAAACAGTATGATACTAGCATAAAAATAGACACATAGATCAATAGAACAGAATAGAAAACCCAGAAATAAACCCGTGCTTGTATGTTCAATTAATCCATGACAAAGGAGGAAAGAATATACAATGGGGAAAAGATGTCTTTTTAACAAATGATGTTGGGAAAACTAGACAGTTACATGCAAAAGAATAAAACTGGACTGCTTTCTTATACCATACACAAAACTAAATTCAAAATGGATTAAACACCTACATGTGAGACCTGAAACCATAAAACCCCTAAAAGAAAACATAGGCAGTGATCTCTTGGATGTCAGCCTTAGCAACATATTTATCGATATGTTGGCAAGAGAAACAAAGCAAATTAAATTATTGGGACTACACAAAATTAAAAAAAAAAAAAAACACATCTGCACAGCAAAGGAAACCATCAACAACAAAAAGGCAACCTAGTGAATATATATATACACACATATATATAAACTAAACAACTCAACACCAAAAAAAAATTTTTGATTCAAAAATTGGCAGAAGACCTGAACATTTTTCCAAAGACAGACAGATGGCCAACAGACACGCAAGAAGGTGCTCAACAAGGCTAATCAGGGAAATGAAGACAAAACCACAGTGAGATATTACCTGACATCAATCGGAATGACTAGTGTCAAAAGGACAAGAAACAACAAGTGTTGAGAGGTTGTGGAGAAAAAGAAAATCTTGTGCATTGTTGGTAGGAATGTAGACTTGTACAGCCATTGTGGGTTGGAGATTCTTCAAAAATTATTGGGCATTTACCCAAAAAAGGCAAAAGTGCTAATCTGAAAAGATATATGCACCCCTATGTTAATTGCAGCATTAATTTACAACAGCCAAGATATAGAAGCAACCTAAGTGTCCTTTGATAGATGAATGGACAAGCAAGTTGTGGTATATATATAATATATATAATATTCTATATAGAGTAGAATATTACTCAGCCACTAAAAAATAATGAGATTTTGCCACTTGCAACAATATGGAGGCCTAGAGGGTATTACACTAAGTGAAATAAGTCAGAGAAAGACAAATACCATATGATGTCACTTATCCGTACAATCTAAAAACCAAAGCAAATGAACCACAAAAAGCAAACAACTCTTAAACACAGAGAATGAACTGGTGGTTGCCAGAGGGAAAGCGGGTTGGGGGATGGATGAAAGAGATAGAGGACATTAGGAGGTACGAACTTCAGTCATAAAATAAATAAGTCACAGAGATGGCAAAGTACAGCATAGGGAATGTAGTCAGTATTATTGTAATATAATACTGACAGATGGTGACTACACTTATCACGAGCACTAAGTAATGCACAGACTTGCCAAATCAACATGTTGTACACTTGAAACGTAATACAACATGGTGTGTCAATTATACCTCAAAAAAATAAGTTAAAAATATTCTAAACCTCAAACTCATAAATTTAGTAAATAAGATTACATTAAGTATTGAAAATTGACTGGAAATGTGTATAAATGGATAAACACCCCAAGTATTTCAGTTAAAATAATTTGTTTACTATGTTAGTTTCTCTCAAATGTCTTTAACATAACGAATACACAAAGCAGTAAAATTATCTTTAAAATTGTTATATTTGCATAAAAATAAATTCATATCAAAAACCCATGTCTATTTTTTCATTATATCTGTGTTTATTATTATTGTTTTTTTTTTTTTGTACAGTCTCAGATTTGCAAAATCATTTAATCAACAAAGTAAAAGAAAATCACTATTTCAGACCCAGCACAATAGCTGAGATTATACACTTGGAGTTCTTGGCCAGAGATTTGACACCAATGCTGTGGATTTGAGGTTCTTGGTCTTTGCTCAAGGAATTAAAACCTGGATTATGTGAACCAGTACAAAGCATACCCCAAGAAGAGTCAGCTCAGGTGTACAGGGTAAGGCCCTTTTCAAGAGTTCTGCTATGTCAATGGAGAACCCACTGGTATATCAATTTAGTGAATCATATAAGTCCTCGACTTCTTTTCAGTTTCATCCTTACCCAAACTTCTTATCATACCTGCCTGCAACATTTTATTACTCAATTTGGATAGATAAATACTGGAACATATACCCAGATTTCAATCTCTTTACTTCCTGATTGAAATAAATATAGTTGTGCAAGATCGTATATTCCATTGCTTTAGCGATCACCATTATTTCAACTGGGCAAGGCAGCAAGTGAGGATATTAATGGAGTACAGTTCAGTGAAAGCATAAGTATTAGCCTCCTAGGACTGCCATAACAAAGTATCACAAACTGGGCTGCTTATTTGTATCACAGTTCTGAAGTCTCAAAGTCCAAAATCAAGGTGTCAGCAGAGTCATGCTGTCTCTGACACCTTTAGGGAAGGATCCTTCCTTGACTCTTCCTAATTTCTGCTGGTTTCCCGGCCATCTTTGGCACTCAATGACTTCTAGGTGTATCATTCCATCCTCACGTGGAATTCTCCCTGTGTTTCTGTATCTATCCACGCATGGCATTCTCTTTATAAGAATACCAGTCATTAGATTACAGGCCCATCCTGCTCCGGCATGACCCCCTCTTAACTAATTATACCTGCAATGACTTTATCTCCAAACAAGTTCACATTCTGAGGAACCGGAGGTTAGGATTTCAATATGCCCTTTTTACAAAGAAACAATTCAAACCATAAGCCATGGAAGAATCAATGTATTGAGGATCCTGGTCACGTTACGCAGAGCTTCTCAACCTCGGCACTATTGACAGTGGGGACTGGACAATGTTTGGCTGCGGAGGGCTGTCTTGTGCATCGTAGAATATTTGGCAGAAATCCCGGCTTCTATCTGGTAAATGTTAATAGCATTGAGCATCCAGCTGTGACAACCATACATGTCTTCAAACATTTCCATGTGTCTCCTAGGGTTTGGGGTTGACGGTCAAAATTGCCTTCGGTCCAGAACAACAGGTAGAGACTAAAGAAAACCACAGATAAAGGTGAGCTGGAGTCGGAGTACTTGAGGAAATAAACAGGAAAAATAGGGAGGTTGCCTTACAGCAGTGAAAAGTGTGAAATGAGATCATGAATGAGTAGAAGTTTCTGTGAGAACAACAATTAGAACATGGGCATAGAAGGAAGTGCGTGAGGTAGGGTGAGGACTAGGATTAGGTTAGTGGAGGGGAAGAGGCAAAGGAATTGAAACACCATCTATGCACATGTCAGCAAAAATTATGACAGAAATAGTTTTGGAGATGATAGCAGTTAGTCAGGACTAACATCGTCAAGAAATAAAGATGACCTGGGAAGCTGGGTGACTGTAAGAAAAAGGAGGGGACAGTAAATTATTTGAAGACTCGAGATTCAAAGAAAGGGCTTTTCATGGAGTCAGAAAGGAAAACGGCCTAGAAATGTCATAGAGGGGCAAAAAAAGGGCCTCCTCATGCCATAACTAGGTACAGCCAAACCCCTGCAGGGGCTGCAGGACTCTGTCCTCAGGGGGGCATGGGTTCAGTTATCGCAAAACATGAACGGAAACATTTAGAAAAAAATGTTCAAATAGATAAAGGGAATTAACAGATACAAACCTGCAGTTATAAAATAGGTAAGTCACGGATGAAAAGTACACCATAAAGAATATAGTCATTAACACTGTAATAACATTATATGGTAACCACACTTAACCATGGTGAGCACTGAGTAATGTATAGAATTGTTCAATCAATATGTTGTGCACCTGAAACTAATATAATATTGTATATAAATTATACTCCAATCAATAAATCAATGTAAAAAAAAAAAGATAGAAAGAAAAAGGTGTGAACACAGGGGAGTTTGCTGATGACAGGCCCTGAATTCCAGGGAATAGAGGTGAAGGATTTCAGGACTTAGGGGTTGGTGGGAGACAGTCAGGAAAGGGGACCACAGTGCCTGGAGGAATGAGCACTTTCCTGGGCTGCTTGTAGTGACTGCCATAAACAGGGATAAAGACAAGTTAGGTAGTGGTGACAAAGATCGTGTTCTTGAGAAATGTGGGGCGTGAGGTCCTGTGAGGAGTACATAAATGTTTAGGACTTCCTCTTGATCCCTGAGGATGGATATTCAGCATCATTGCTCACAAGGCTCTGACTGGCAGCTCTCAGGAAAGCTTCTGCTTCTGCTTCTGCTTCCGCAGGGAGTCATTTCCATAGCAAGACAGAGAAAAATGAGCTTGGGCTTTGGAGCCTGCTCACCTGGGTTTGTATCCCAGCTCTGCTACTAAAAAAGAGGAGTGACTTTTGTCTCATTGATCTCAGCTGCCATGTGTTTGTCTGTCTTCATTAGCCCCCAGAAGTTGATCGTGTCCATATAATCACCTGGTCACAGGAGGATCTCAACAAGTTATCTGAAATTTCCTAGGGAGAAGGATAGCTGTGTTGGTCAAAAAATGACAGGCACACTTGGATTTTTAACCAAAAAATTACCAAAATATATGCTAAAAAATATCTGCTGAGTTGTGTGGGTATTAATAACTCAGTCATACTTTAATTCAAGTTTTTCACATTCTCAATTAACACACAAGAAGATATACATCTAACGCCCTGACCCAGAATTCAGACCCATGAGCATTTACCTTATCACATGTGATACATTCTAACAATTTCCTTTTTTGCCCCCATTGTTTCAAAGAGAAACAACTTAAGTCCATTTCATGATCCCAAATGTGAAGCAACTTTAATGTATTTCACAAACATTTACTGAGCACCTTCTATGTGCCTAGTTCTGATGGCCACTGGAGATGAGAAAAATAAGATGCAAATTTTGTTCCACAGGACAGTGAAGAAAAAATATTAATTACTATACTAAAAACTAAAATATAAATCTATAAAAGTGCTCTGGGATCTTAGTCGGGGAAATCTGAGAACATTCTTCAAGAGGAGCAGAGCACCTAAACTGTGTCTTGAAGGGGAAGCAGGATTTGTTTAGACAAAGAAAATACACCGTGAAGACTTATATTCTGTTCCAAATGGTTGTTCCAAATTACAGGGTTTGGGATTACATGAACAGCACTTTACCACTTTTCCCAGTCTTGGAATTGTGGGAGAAATATTTTGTTTATGTGGAATTATCTTGTTGTTGGCTACCTAATTGTAGCCCCACTAGCAATCCTCCAAATGGAAACCCAGGAGACAGTAGACTTGGCCAAAGAAATGACAAATTAAAGAGCATTCTGGAAGTATACTGTAGCATATGCCAGGAGAGGCACACTCTAAGAGGGTGAGACCTAATCTGCCCGCAGGCATCATTCATCATTTTGTGCTAGAGCCTATGGGAAAGTCTGTTCCTCTGCAAATGAGGAAAGCATCAGATGAATCCACTTCAGGTACATGGTTGCACAGTTATGAAGCTCTGCCAGGTATTCCCAATCTATTTGCCAGGCATGGTCAGCATTGGCTTCTTCCTGCCCTGGAAACTAACTTTCCTGTTTGGATCTAACTGTATTATTTTTAACCCAACCAGGGATTTTGGCCAAGGATGTGAATAAAATCTGGGGATTTCTGAGAAGTGATTCCAGAAAACTGTAATCAGAAATATGTAAATCTGAGGGAAACAAAGTGTAAAGGAGTCTTAAACCCTTCCCTCCTGGCCATTCAACCTCGAAACCACTACTCCAATTTCCAGAGGCCCATGATTTCATAACTTAGCCTCTCACAATCTCGAACAATTCCCATAATTAGAAAGTTCTTTTTTTTTTTGTTTTGTTTTAAACTTTCAACTTATTCTGGTTCTGCTTTCTGGATCTCTGGATTATCTTCCTAGGGCCATCGTAACAAATTACCACAAATTTTATGGCTTTAAACAACAGAAACATATTCTTTACCAGTTCTGGAAGATAGAAGTCCAAACTCAAGGTTGTCCACATGGCTTACCCCCTCTGAAGGCTCTATGGGCAATTGGTCATTTGCCTTGTCTAGTTTTTGGTGGCTCCAGGCCTTCCTTGGCTTGATGTCACAGCACTCAAATCTTTTCTTCCATGGTCACATTACTTTTCCTCTGAGGTGTGTCTTATAAAGACACTTTTCATTGGACTTAGGGCATCCTGTGGAAATCCAGGATGATTTCATCTCAATGTCATTATTTTAAATTACATCTGCACAGACTTATTTTCAGAGAAGATAACATTCTGAGGTTATAGGGATTAAGGTTTATACCTCATTACTCTACAAAAGAGTGAAGTGAACTATTTAATAACACCAAAGACTGAAATGCTAAAACAGTACCATTTTGTAGGGTTGTTGTGCCGGGAAACATAGCAAAGAACTCAAATAGTGTTAGCTCGTTTTATTATCATTGTTTTATAGTACTTTGGAATTTTCAATGTGTAACCGGTGACTCACTTGATATAATCCTCATAATCCCATAGTAAGCAGGTATTGTATCAGGAGACCCAAACTTGACAATAGTTGCCTCATATTGCCACTATATTAGTTTAAGGATAAATTTTTGTTGGCACCTCTTCTTCCCCCAAATGGCTTGAAACAGTTTCAACATGCATATACTTAAAAGGTAGGAAATTGAGAAAATCAGAACCAAGTAAAAGGTAAGCACTCATATCAACCCTAATGGTAAATTTAATTCCATTAACTGAGTCTCATATTTGTCTCTTACAGAAAACATTAACAGTGGCTTTTCTGGATGACGGGATCATGGGTTAATTTTTTTATGTCTCTCTTTTCCTTGTTTTTGCTCCTTGGGTATTTTACAACTTTTCTATCATGGGCATGTAATATTTATTGTTTTCATAATTGGAAAGTGACTTCTTAATTGGACTTTGCCTTCTTGATAGTCAAGGTAAAAAGGGGAAATCAGTCATTTAGATAATTAGAATCCAAGAGGAGGTAGTAGGTCAATTCCTTCCGGGAAAGTAACAGTTTTTCTAGTACTGGCTTTTACTCTAAACACTAGGTCATACAATGCCTTCATTTCTCACAAATTCCTGAAAATGCTTCTTGCAGCCTTGTTCAAAAACAGCAGAAGCTGTAAGTGATATTGTAATGGCCTAAGATTATGTGGTCTGAGAAGACATGCCCAGTAAACGAACTATGTGTCCTTAGTCAATTACTCCTAAAGCTCGCTGTGAAATGAGCCCACGAGCAAGTAGAAAGGCATGATTCCTGGATCTGGTTCATCAGCACTGAGTTTGGAAGTGTGCTCCGAGCTGGCTGTAACAGCTTTGACTATCTGAAGATGATAAATAAAATATGTGTTTAAAGTTTTGTAATAATACTGTATTAGGATTATATTTTCGTTGATAAAGGCCTAGAGTAATGGAATTCAAGGTTATTGACTGAAGAAAGATTTTATTTGGAAGACGCATGAAAAGGAGGCAGGAGATGACTAGATTGTGAACATAGAAGAGAGAATGTTCTCACTTATATATAATGTTCTCACCCTCAAGCAGCCAGTTAATCGCAAAATTGGAGCTCAGTTCTTTGTTTTAAAGTTTGGATTAAGAGATTTTCAAACAATACACAAAACTAGAGAGAAGAATGTAACGAACCTCAGTTTCAACACTGACCAACATGCGGCCAATCTCGTTCCCTCTCGTCCATATCCAAGACATCCTGCCATTACATATGTAATCAAAATATAAACTGAATTATAATAAGTGCATTTCTAAACTTTATTTCCCCTTCGTGACATTACTTCATATTTCACAAGTTGCTTTTAATACACACAGATAGGTTCATTTTCCTGTCATTAAGGGTTAAATGCCTCCAGAAAAAGGGTTTTATTGGTGCCTCCCTCTGTAACTATCTCTCAGGACCCAGTGCAGTGGAGCAGCTGGAACAGTACTTGATAAATGCTACCCGCTTTGAGATACGTGCTGATCACCAGAAACGCAACTAGCAGAAGGAAGTATGTAAAATAATGAAAAGAAATGCAATGCCACTTCCTAATAACTGTATGGTCAGAAAGTAATCTATACTTGGAGCGCCTGGGTGGCTCAGTCAGTTAAGTGTCGGGCTCTTGATTTTAGCTCAGGTCATGATCTCAAGGTTGTGAGATCCAGCCTTGAGGTAGGCTTTACACAGACAGTGCGGAGCCCCCTTGGGATCCTCTTTCTCTCTCTGCCCCTCCCCCACTCGTGCCCACGCGCTTTCTCTCTCTTTCTCAAAATAAACTTAAAAAAGAGAGAACGTATTCTACACTTAATTGTTCTAAAAACCTATTATCACGAACTTCGTCCAATGACATCATTACCTCCATCCCTTTCTTCAAAATGCCAAGCCAAGCGCTTGAATGTGAAATCATTCGTTTTCTTTCTATTCATCTTTCACCGCTGTTGAAATGTTCTCTCTGAAACATTTACCTTTTGAAACTTGATGAAAGTGAATGTAAATTCAAGTCTGGCTTGTAAGTGTTCACTTCATAAGTGACTCTTGGTTTTCTTTGTTTGTTTTAACGTTTATTCATTTTGGAGAGACAGAGAGAGACACAGAATGAGCGAGGGAGGGGCAGAGAGAGAGGGAGACACAGAATCCAAAGCAGGCTCCGGGCTCTGAGTTGTCAGCACAGAGCCCAACACGGGGCTCGTCGAACTCATGAATTGTGAGATCATGACCTGAGCCGAAGTCGGACGCTTAGCCGACTGAGCCACTCAGGCGCCCCTCTTTGTTTGTTTTTAACCTGATATATATAAACTTTCCTCTCCCTACCCAAGAATGTGCCACCCTCCCACCATTGTCAAGATCCAAGGCAAAAAATATGTTTGCTGAAAGCAATTCAGACTGTGTCAGCCAAGGGAAAGAATTCTCCAGAATTTAAGTGTAAAATCAGAACTGTGTGTAATATCTATCAAGCCAGATGTTTACCTGTTCACTGTGAGAGAAATTGGAAGTACATCAAAAACCAGTGATAGGAACAGCTTTGAACCACATGCAGAAAGAGGCAGTTCAGGAAAATTTTGGGTTCCAGTAAAGCCCTGACCTCCTGAAGCTATATTTACACTTAGGAAATGTTTTTTCTTGGCTGAGTCAGTGCCCCTAACCAGCTTCTATCAGGCCGCAGAAGAGTCTTGCCTGAGCTATGTTGGGTATTTCTACTCCCTCTTTCTTTCCTCTCTCCTGATAAAGGAATGAGTCTTAAGAAGTTTCAGTGAGCCACTTGAAATCTCCAGGCCTCAGTTTCCCCATCTCTAAAATCACTTCTAATACTGACTTTTTGTGATTCCTACTCAGTCTTTTGTACAGAGACTCACAGGATGCTGTGTCCCTTTGCATACGGCAGGAAGTTTCAACTCACCCGGAAGCATATGCCAATCAACTCCTGAGATGTTAGGTCTCAAACTGTTGTTATTTTTTATACAAGTTGGTGGCTTCTGATGATACTTTGGTGCTAGAACCTGGCCAAGTCAAAAATATTCAAACACAACCTTTGACAATAAATTTCATATATAAATAAAAAAAAAATATTCAAACACAACTTGACAGGCATGGAGTTCCCTTGGGGACTACGTTCTGCCTTTGTAAATTAAAGCTAGCTTTAAGATGAAGCAGAGAGAAGCATCTTCTCTCCCCAGGCGGTTCCTACCATGTCTAGGTCGCTGTGGAACCGGCTTGGCTTCTCAGAAACCCATGGGGACAAATGGAAAGAGGGAATACAATTCTAGGATCTCTTTTAAGCTATGTGAGTTCTCTGGAACCTTGCAAGTGCTGGCAAGGTCCTTCTGTCACGACACAGTACAGATCTGGTGAAGGAACATTAAGTCTAGGGGGGCAATTCAGGGATGTCAATCTGGGCATCCTCTGTATGCATTTAAGGGGGCTCTTTGCCATCTCTGATGGAGGGTCCTGGCTGTTAATACCCTGGAGCAAGATGGAAAAACTGTAGTCAGAAAGCCAACACCCCTTCCCTCCTCCACCACCGCCACCTCCTTCTGCTGCTCCCGGTCCCGTTTGTGTGCTTATGCAGTGTGAACCTGGTACCTCTTTTGTGCAGTGGCAGCTGAGGAGACTCCAGTGCTCAGCACGGCCAACAAAAAGCCCAGGAAGTAGCCAAGACTGAGAACAAGAATCGTATTCGTTTAAAGGTGGTGGGGCAGGATGGTTCTGTGGTGACATTTAAGATTAAGAGGCCCACAGCACTTAGCCAACTAGTGACAGCCTCTTGGGAATGACAGGGTTTGTCAGTGAGGCAGAGCAGACACCGTTCAGATATACTCCGTCTATCGGCTCTAAATCCATTATGCTTGTCCCCAGGCTTCATGACCGCCAATTTCTAAAAGGCCTTTTCCTGCTGTCTTGGCCAATCATGCTTTCCCATAGGGCAGGAGGGATGTTCCAGTGCAAAGTCGTTTGAACTACTCCTCCCTCCCAAAATATATTAGCATAAGGTTAATTTGTCCAAAAACTATTTGTCGACCACCTGTCTGTACTAGGTGCTAGAAAAGAGCAAGCAAGCAAGCAAGCAGATAAAAATCTCCGCTCACCATCATGAAGCTTACCATGTAATGGGAGAAGACGGATAATAAATGAAATAAATAAAGCCCAGCGTGTGCTAGATGGAGGTGTGTGCAATGGAGACAAATAAAAAGGAGAACGAGATAAAGAGCATTTGTTGGGGAAATCTTCAGATTGTGGCAATCTTTGGAAGAACATTCCAGGCAGAAAACAAGAGTAAGTGCCAGAGTCCTGTGGCAGAAGCATGCCTGAACAGTGGTGAAATAGTAAGGAGGCCAGTGTAGCTGGCAGGACATTATCAGGAGAAAGAGGGGTAGATGATTTCAGGGAGTTATCGGGGGGCCAATCATGGACAGCCTTATAGCCCACGTAAAGACCTTGGCTTCTACTCTAAATAACACCGGAAGTATTTGGACATTTTGTGCAGAATGACATGATTTGTGTTGACCCCTATTTTCAAACAGTTCTGAGAATAGACTGAACAGGGGAGAGAGCAGAGCAAGGAGACTAACAAGAAAGCTACAACAACAGTCTAGGAGACAGTGGTGGTTTGGGGCCAGATGGTAGGAGTTGGACTCTGAATGTCTTGGTAGAATAAACAGAATATGCTGATAGAGTGTGGGCTGAATCACGGGGTGAGAGGAGGGGAGAGAGGGCACTGGGCAAGAAGCCTGGCTTCTCAGTTGAGTTTCAGTCCATCTCACATTTACAGTGTTACCTGAGGAAAGTCACTGAAAAGCTTGGGGCCTCATTTTTCACCTCTAGAACAATGGCTTTAGCTCCTTCTTGACCACAGGAGTCTCAAGTGTATGTGACGTCTGTGCAAAAGCAGACTTTCTTAGAAATGAATCACAGTTCTGTGTGACCTCATGCAAGTTCATTAGCCTGAGCAACTGCGGTGGGGAGGCTGTGGTCAAATCTGAAATATCTTGGGAGCAACTACAAAAACCCAAACCCAAGAGATATTACAGTTGTGAGGAATTAATTTAGGAATGTTTACTTTTAAAAAGTTAAATCTCTGGGGCGCCTGGGTGGCGCAGTCGGTTAAGCGTCCGACTTCAGCCAGGTCACGATCTCGCGGTCCGGGAGTTCGAGCCCCGCGTCAGGCTCTGGGCTGATGGCTCGGAGCCTGGAGCCTGTTTCCGATTCTGTGTCTCCCTCTCTCTCTGCCCCTCCCCCGTTCATGCTCTGTCTCTCTCTGTCCCAAAAATAAATAAACGTTGAAAAAAAAAATTTAAAAAAAAAAATAAATAAAAAGTTAAATCTCTTTCTTGTTAGGCTAAGGATAGCCAAAGAAGAAAGTCTGTTCAAGGAAACTGTTGTGTTTTTTTAACTCATAAGGGGTTTTCTGATTTAATTTTTTTTAATGCGTATTCAGTTTTGAGAGAGCACAAGCGGGGCAAGGGCAGAGAGAGAGGGAGATGCAGAATCTGAAGCAGGTTCCAAGCTGTCAGCACAGAGCCCGAAGTGGGGCTCGAACTCACAAACCGTGAGATCATGTCCTGAGCCAAAGTCGGATGCTTAACCGACTGAGCCACCCAGGCACCCCTCAAGGAAGCTGTTTTAACCAAAGCTTTATGATCCCTAGTTACTGTTTGGATTTTGTACTCTTTGAACCTGTACTTATAAATGTTACCTCGTTGGTGATTAATACATTTTTACATCCTCCCCCAAATTCTCATCTTGAGTTTTAGTTTTATTTTAAACCCAAAAGGCTTCTTTTGCTTTCCCCTCTCTCTGACCAGGTTTATCACCACCTTGGAATTTTTCTAAATTTTTACCAACAAGAGAACTATGTGACTGAGTTATTCTAAATGACTCAAGTGCTTACAACTTTCCCAGCATTACTTAAGCATACAAAGCCCAAGCTGCCTCTTTCCAATTCACAGATTCAGAAAAGCACTCCTAATTGAAACTTTCAGGATAAGTATGGGATGTTGGAGAGCTCCTCCCAGGGGTGACCAGGCAGGAATCAGAGGGCAAGACAGGTGTTCCACATGCATCGGCCTTCTCAGCCGCGTGCTTTGGGCTACCCCTTCCTCCTCCTCCAGCCTACTAGTCTAAGTCCAAGTCCCTCAATATGCTCCAAGGTAACTGATAAGCCACTTTATAAGCCAATTTAATTGAATTACATGGGTACCTTGCTTTATTTCACCTCACAGATACTGTGTTTTTTACAAATTGACAGTTTGGGGCAACCCTTCCTCACACAAGTCCATGGGTGTCTTTTTTCCAGAAGCATTTTGTCATTCATGTGTCTGTGTCACATTTTGGTAATTCTTGCAATATTTCAAACATTTTCATTATTATTCTATTTGTTAGGTGATCTGTGATCAGTGAGTATGACTCGATGAAAGCTCAGAGGATGGTTAGCACTTTTTAGCAATAAAGTATTCTTTAACTGAGATATGCGCATTGTTTTTCAGACATAACGTTAATGCACACTTAATAGATTACAGTATAGTGTCAACGTAACTTTTATAGGTACTGGGAAAACAAGAAATTCATCTGAGCCCTTTTTTTAATGATATTTGCTTTTTTGCAGAGGTCTGAAACCAAACCACAATATCTCTGAGGTACTCCTGGATTAGTGACAAAGAAGGATTCATCCTAGGGTTCTCCGCACTAAGTTATGATGAAATGATGAAATGTTTAGGCACTGTGAAGATACCTGTTTAACAAGAAGTTTCCTTGGGAAAGACTCACAAAATCTTCTCATCAGGTGGTCTCCGTCTTTGCGTATCCTTTACAGGATCAGTCTTTAATATTGTCCCTGAGACCATTTCAGGGGGCCCACAAGGTCAAAACTATTGTCACCATCATACAAAAACATCATTTGCCTATTTCACTTTCATTCTCTCAAATGTGCTGTGGAATTTTCCAGAAGCTACACGATGTGTAATGTTGACATCATTCTGATGGCTAATACAATACATGCTTATATATTTTTTTCAAATATGTAAGTTTTAATTTCAAATGTGGTAAATATTGGCAAACACTTCTCTTTACCAGAAAGTCTTCTTTGGGGTCCTCAATAATGTTTTTAGGGATGTTCTAAACTTTTGAGAACTGCTGCTTTAGCTATCCTGCCTGATCTGGCAGTTGAGATACAAAGATACAGTAACGCAACAAAACGAGAGGCAGGGTGGTGGCTCCTATTCAATTCAAAACTGTGTAAGCTAATCAGTTTGCAAAGGTTGGTGTCAAAAAACAACATCAAAAGAGCACATGCAAGGAAGTGCTCCAAAATTGACCATATCACATCAAATGGACACAGTTACCAAACTGACAGAGCTCCCTCTGGCTAGATCAGGGATATCTGATTTGTGACTTTGTGACTAATCAGAAATGTTAGTGGCATCTTCTAGTGGGTGAGAGATAGATGGGAGGGGAGGGTTTCACACACAGAGGGAAAGTATAAAGATTATCACTAATGTCTACCACATTCCCCAAAAGAGTATCATGAACCAAATGTTTAGCCTTGACACTTTTACTTTTAATCATTCAGTATTTTAATACAAATATATGAAATAATACAGAATTAAATAACATATGAAAGGCTTAAATATACAAATATCCAATTCAACAGTGAAAACAAGTTAAGTTTTAGTCACGGAGTAGAGAGAAAGCAGGCAATACTGAAAAAGTCACTAATTTGGTCTTGTGAGCAATAAGAGTTCAAAATTGTTCCACTAGTTCGAAAAATCTATTTAGGGGTCACGTGGGTGGCTCAGTTGGTTGAGTGTCTGACTCTTGATTTCAGCTTAGGTCATGATCCTAGGGTGGTGGGCATGAAGCCTGCTTGAGTTTCTCTCTCTCTCTCTCTCTCTGTCTCTCTCTCTGTCCCCTCCCCCCTCAAAATAAATAAATAAAAAGGAAAGGAAAGGAAAGGAAAGGGAAATATATTTAGACCAAAGGGATCTATAAACCCATACATGCCTTCTCTGCTATTATGAGAAGTTAACTCATGAGAAAAGAAGACAGGAGAGAAAAGCATTTGAATTGACTGACTGTTATTTACAAAACTTCCTAAATGCCTATTCTTATCATATGTTTTCATTACACAAGTTTGAATTCACAACGACTAAAATAGGACTGACATCTTATGAGTCAAATGGGACAGGAAATGCAAACTTTTTTAAATATGCGAGCTGTTGGACTAACAATACTTATTCTTCTATAAAAATAGATGAGTAAAGTTAAGGTTGCCCATGTTATTTTGCAATAAATTCAGTCCCACATTCATTGTGGTAAACGTCACAAAAGAACATGAAATATAGCAGTGAAACCAAGGACTTTAGAAAGACCAGCTATTAACAATGCAGTGAAGAAACACATGAAAAAACAGACTCATGGACCTAAGAACAATATGGAAGAAGAGAAGGAACATCAACAGAAAGGTTAAAGGTAGTCTCAGAAAAGTTCTTTGGTCCTCAACACCTTTCTGTATTCTCCTTTCTCTTTTTCATTTCATTATTCATTTTCTTTCCTGGAATTACATCAGTTTTTAGAGCAGAAATGGCAAATTATCTGGTCCAACTTCTTAATTTTCTGGATGCAGATGTGGAAGCTCATTGAGAGAAAGTGATGAACGTGGGGCTGCCATCAGCTGGAGCCAGAGTCAGTCTCTGAGTTGTGGCTACTGATCCAGAGTCCATTCAACAGGACAACACTGCCCTACTTCACAAAATCAAGTCCTACAACAGACTTGAGAGGTGAAATGACTTCCTTTTGGAACACTCACCAGCACTGGGTCGCTTACATGGCAGAAGGAAATCTTGAAATTCTTAGGTCTTTTACCCCTACCTCTTTTGTTCTTGGAGAATGACCCTTTTCCTCCTGCCTTTCTCATGAATCAGATTCAAGTAGACCAGGACATAATATTCAGGGTTCTGTGTGAGTCTTCTAGGGCTCTAGATAAAAGAAAGAACAAGATATTAACTTCAAACATGTATAATTTCTATACATAGTGGTATGTATTTCTATAAATAACAAAAGGGTCACTAAACACAGAATACTCCTGTGCATATTTAATTGGCAAAGATAAGGACATTTCTTGATCCAATGTGACACAAGGACACTGTGACTCTTTAAAAGGACATAGGTAGGGACTCCTGGGAGGCTCAGTCGGTTAAGTGACTGACTTTGATTCAGGTCATGATCTTACAGTTCATGCATTTGAGCCTCGTATCGGTCTCTCTGCTGTCAGAATAGAGCCAGCTTCAGATCCTCTGTCCATCTCTCTCTCCATGCCCTTCCCCCACTCTCTCTCAAAAATAAACATTAAAAAAAATGTAATTGCTTCAAAATAAAAGGACAGGTAATTCTAGGAAAAAATGTTCTGCAGAATCACTTAAGACTACAAGTGAAAAAAACATTAAAGAATTCCAAATGATCTGGGGCACCTCGGTGGCTCAGTCAGTTAGGCGTCTGACTTCAGCTCAGGTCATGATCTCTCAGTTCGTGAGTTCGAGCCCCATGTTGGGCTCTGTGCTGACAGCTCAGAGCCTGGGGCCTGCTTCGGACTCTCGGTCTCCCTCTCTCTCTGCCCTCCCCCACTCAAGCTCTGTCTCTCTCTCTCTCTCTCTCAAAAATAAATAAACATAGAAAAAAAACCTTTTTTTTTAAAGAATTTTAAATGATCTATGTGTATTTTATTTATAAGACCTTGAGCTTTGCTTCCTGTGGATATTAACTTGCTAGACATTGGGTAGCATTCATGTGTCACAAAAAAGACACATGGAGGGCCTTTCAAGGGCTATCAGATTTCTAGCACATAAACTGAAAGGATGTGGGCCTCCCCTCAAGGCCTGTAGTTAGTGAAGTAAAAGGCCTAGGATTTTATCTTGGTGCCACCTCTCATTCTCTATGTAAATCGTAAGTATCGTAAGTAACTCTTCACCAGAAACTGCAATGTTTTAAACTTGCCAATATGCCCAGTATCCACTATCTGTGGTAAAAGACGTAAAGCAGCTCCGGCAAGAATGCCTGGGCTTAAGATTCAGTTGGCCAATGACTCTGTAATCAGATCATGCCCTGCCATTTTGAGATGATGGATGGCATCTGCACCCATTGGAGTGTAAACTTTTGTAGAAAAATCAGTTGGAAGGCAAGATTTCTCCCGGCAGTATTGACCTAAGCAGTTCAGTAAAGGTTGCTTAACACTTCTCTCATAAAAAGTGCCACATCTCTTCTGCTTGGAGCTCTGAGGAAACTGGAGTAGGGGTAAGGACCACCCCCGCCCCCACAACCACTCTGCATTAGAGAGACATAGGTACAATTATTACGCAAAGCAAAGATTTGCATTTGTTTTTGGAAACAAATATTTTTTGTATTGCCCTTACAACTAATCACTATTTCACCATCAAAATTATTGAGTACTTCTGGTATTTGACATAGTACTAAGCTGAAAATAAGAGAAAGCGACATGATTCCACTGAGGACACAGTGTTTTATCAACACCTCCATTGTTATCAATGAAAAGACAGCCCATTTAAAGGTCAGGTTATTATGAAGTGAAGTGAAGTGAAAGAATTCAAGGTAATTATACAGATAATGTTGGTGAAGGAAAAACCACTTTGTTACAAAATAGCTGGATGATTTGAAGAAAAAGTGAAGTTTGGAATAGGCATTTCCTACGGTTGTGTAAATTTTTTACTGTTTTCCACTTATACTTTGACTCAATCAAACAAAAGAAAACTGCTACTCAAACATTTCAAAAAGTGAGATGATTATCTGTTCAGATCTGCCCCCACGTGAGGTTTTTGTTACTGAGAAGCACGTAATCATTGGTGGGTTGACTAACGAGAAATAAGAGGTTATTTTCAATCCCAAATTTGACTTCATTGTAGTATATGTGGAAGGGAAAAATTTATGACCTCAATTGGGTTTTAATAGAATATTATAGAATAGGGGAAATTTTCCCTAGGAAATTTTATTTTTTTTCACTTTCTATTTCAGTAATAAAGCACTACATTCATGAAAGAAAATAAAAGGGATTTTTTTTTTTGAAAACCTATCAATCTATTATTATCTGGTTGTTGTAGTCTCATGGGAAGTAACTGTGATCTGATCCTATCAGGAATGGAACAAAAAGAAACTGCCTCTAACTCACCATACCTTCCTCCAGAGGACACCTTTCCTGGTGAAAAGAACAACATTCTCTCTGGCGTTAAACAGGATCACGAGAAAAATAGATCCTAATTTGTACAAAAATAACATCATCATTACAGATTACCCCTCTATCCTGAAACTAAGTTTGCTGTGCTTTTGTGAGCAATGAATAAGTGATTTTGGCCTAAAATAAGCTTTTTTTGTTGCGTTTGTTATGGACCTAACAAAGAGTCAAACCCTTACTTAACTAGATTTGTCTTACCACCCAGCAGCTTCTCAGAGATGATTTCTTTGCCCACATTCAACTAGTGCAAGAATTAATTCATCCTTTCTCTCCTCTTTCTTTCTCCATGAACCATGAACACACACACACACACACACACACACACACACACACACACACATTTAGTTCCCCCTCTTCACTTCCTTATTTCTGAACAGTTGCCATTTTTTCCAGTAACCAGGTCCAGAAATTTGGTGTCATTTTTGACTGATCACCATGTTCCCCTGCCCATCCAAAAGTTTTATGTTTCCAGATGATGGAAAGCAGAAGAGAAAAGGAAAACCCAAAGCAAGGGTAGGGAAAAAGTAGGAAGCAAATGTAGTAGGACTGTTCACTTTCATCACAAATTGATAATCAAAATTTGTTACTTAAAGAAATTTTAAATGTCAGTATCTCCGATGGTTTTCATCTCTTTCTGCCAACTTTTTGTATAACTTAAGTTTTGGTCCTGAGTGTTTAAGTCTCCAGCATAACAAACACTTGGGGACCTACTAACATTTTTGAAACCCACAAAACAATTCAGCCACCCAAAATATGCCACTTCACATTCAGTGTAATTAACTGAGTTGGCCATATGTCACAAAGATATCATCAGTAAATAGCAATTCTAGTGCTTACAAGATCCTAGAGAGGTGCAAGTGTTTAGTTCATAAATGAGAAAAGCCTGAGTACAAAGATAAGCTGACTCCCTTTGCTTCAGGAATTGGAAAAGGCCTTGAACAATTCTTTTTCCCAGAAAACCTAAGACTTAATGAACAAAGGACAATTATTCTTCAAATGCCCCATTCTAGTGGAATTTACCTTGGGCTTGAATAGATTGCATTGTAAGATTCTTGTCCAACAGGGACTTTTTAAAACAAATTTGAACACTTCATACTTTTTTTCTTCGTACTTTCCGAAAGAATACAGCAGTAACAGCAAGCTAAGACTAAAATAAATGCAACCCAATAGTGCCTTTCAAGTCAGAACTCCAGGGTATCACAGCTGGAAGAACATTCTGGCAGAGGTCAGGAGACCAAGGCCACGGTTCTCGTCCTAAACCTGTTGTTAACTAGCTGTGTGACCTTAGGGAAAAAGTCAATTTCCCTCTCTGGCTTCAGTTCCTAACTGGAAAAACGAAACGTTTGGATAGAGTCAAACAGCCTTCTGCCTTTGACATTCTGCAGAGCACTAATGAATTCTATGGGCTTATGTTTATATGCAATAAAATTATCTGATATGTAATCCCCTCTCCCCACAGAACACATTCTTTTGACTACTTTTGCAAAGGGGCCACTGGCACTGAAGATTTGTTGTTTTTTATAAAATGACATTAATCTGGTGTTTATATAAGGTTTATGCAGAATTAAGTGTTTGAAAAACCTAGCACATGAGAGATAGCTCATGAGACATAAAAGAAAAAGGGGGGAAAGTAGCGCTTAAGTGAAGTGTTTAATAGAAATTTAAAACAACACTCTAAACCAACATTTTCTTCCTTCCCTTACAGTTATCTGAGATGGTGAAAACTCCCATATGAGCCTTTCACCCTTGGAAATCCCCATCAACATGCCATAAACTGCAGCTTTGCATTAACTTTAATAAATTATGCACTGTCTTCAGAAAACAAAAACATTTAATTCTCTCTTTCTAGCTGACTCCTCTTGTTTTACAGCGTCTCATTTTATAAAATCTCACAATGCTTTAGACTCAGCATTTATGAGGTACTGAAATTACAATAAGAAAAGGAGAATTGAGGGGGGCCTGGGTGGCGCAGTCGGTTAAGCGTCCGACTTCAGCCAGGTCACGATCTCGCGGTCCGGGAGTTCGAGCCCCGCGTCGGGCTCCGGGCTGATGGCTCGGAGCCTGGAGCCTGTTTCCGATTCTGTGTCTCCCTCTCTCTCTGCCCCTCCCCCGTTCATGCTCTGTCTCTCTCTATCCCAAAAATAAATAAACGTTGAAAAAAAAAAAAAAAAGAAAAGGAGAATTGAAAACATCACTTTCAAAATCTATCCTTCCATCCAGCCAGCCAGCCATCCACCCATCCATTCATCCACTGATTCATTCACTATTTTAATGAACAGCTATTGAGCACCTAATAATATACATAAGATGTTGTGATAGATGTTGTAGGGGACAGAGAGACAATGTGCAGTCTATAAGGACAGAATGACATAATGTAGTTAGAAGATTGCCTACATGTTGCCTATAGTGTTTGAGACATAGTAAGAGTATAACAGAGAAAATACTATTTAATTAGTGAGTATATTGGATAATTTCAGAGTCTGTTACATGGAGTAGCTGGCCCTGGGGAGCGCTGTAAAAAGAAAAGAGATTGTCCTTCTCAGTAATAAGTGGAAGAACACAGTGTGGACGCTGAGACTTCTCTCCCTGGTTTTGCCATCAGCTGATTCAACAATGGTTGGATCAACATTTTCCACATTTCCTCTCATCAACACTTACTCTCAAGTTACAAATAATTAGCCACTAAATGATCTTAGGAAACAAAAAGCAGAAGCATCCAGTTTTAACGTCCAATTGCAAGAAAATGACGCTGACGTGTTCTAAAATACCAGCAACATTTAGGTATTTTGGAAACAGCGAACAAAACACATTGTTGCCACCCCTTATTTACGTCTTCACGTGACCCCCCCAAATTGCTTTTAAAAAGTCATTTGTGGGGCGCCTGGGTGGCGCAGTCGGTTAGGCGTCCGACTTCAGCCAGGTCACGATCTTGCGGTCCGGGAGTTCGAGCCCCGCGTCGGGCTCTGGGCTGATGGCTCAGAGCCTGGAGCCTGTTTCCGATTCTGTGTCTCCCTCTCTCTCTGCCCCTCCCCCGTTCATGCTCTGTCTCTCTCTGTCCCAAAAATAAATAAAACGTTGAAAAAAAAATTAAAAAAAAAAAAGACATTTGTTTCCTTCTGTGTATTTCTCGTGATCACTCACCTCGGTCTTGGTTCCGACGACGTTTCCAGTATAATAAGATTGAGATTAAGACCAGGAGAATGACCAGGGAAACAATACTTAACAATAGTGGAACTGAAAACCAAAAGCCTATAGATGTTGAGGGGGAAAAAGGAGACACAAAGTCATAAGAAGCTGTTGAGGCAAAAAAGGATAGAGAAACAGTTGTGATTAGTTTTTCCTAGAACTGAGCTTAAAATGAAAACTACCCTTAAATATATATCTATTGAAGTTTACATTCATGGCTTTATATCATTTTGATAGCATTTAGTTAATAATAATCTAACCACACAGTTTATGTGGTTGCTATCTCTTAAGACCTTTTGAATGTGTGGTTTCATTTAGTCCTCAAAACAGCCCAAGAGTTAGGTATCTCACATATACAAACAACAACAATAGAACAAAAAACTGAGGCTGAGAGAAGTTAAGCAAGCCCAGAATCAGAGTAGTAAGCAGCAGAACCAGGGCTTGGTCAGAGCTTGGTTTGCCTCTAAAGTGCATATTCTTTGCCTTACGGTCCGTGAAAGTCATATATTTATTGAGGGCGCTTTGGAAAATACAGAGTAATAGAAAGAAAAAAAAAATCATGCATCTCATGATTCCCACCCCAGGAGTAACTCATCTCAATGCTTTTACTGTATGTCTTCTAATCTGCATCTTTGTTATTAAAGCTCTTTCCACCGCCCAACAAACAAAGTTCCTCCGCATCGCTCTGCAATACAAAGACGGGAGGAAGAGCCTCCTGATTTGGGAGTTTCCAGCATCTTCCCCATACCTCCGTAAAGGGATTTGTTACATCATAATTGAATCGGGCACCTTCAGACAGAGATGTGTCTAAGTTCAACAGTTTCTGTGCTTGACACATGCTCGAAGCACGGGAGACTTTTAGTAAGCGTTCGCAGAACAAACATTACAGAAATGATGTTCACACATTATACATGACATAAGTCGATTTTAGCATTCTTGGGAAAGAAGACCAGTTCCTTTTCAGCTTCTTGTTTTTCAGGGAAATTGACCCTTTGCCTTGGCTGAAAATGAGGATCTCTTCACAAGTATCCAGATCTAACACTGCGTATCTTTTGACCAAATTTACCTAAATGTTGACTTTTTGATTCGTCTGTTTTTTACAAGGACCCCAAAAATGACTACAGGAAATTTTGCTTAGAGGCCACCACGCCAATAAGGCATACACAGGAAAAAGCTTTTCCAAGCTCTGTTGCTTAAAATCCTCCCTGAAAAAAAAAAAAAAAAACAACCAAAACCCATCAATACCTTTTTAGGAGGCTTATTACAGACAGCCTCATCCAGAGTTGGTGCCTCAGAACCACAGAGAGAAAGAAAACCGTGACTATTCGCAAAGTGTCTTGCCTCTAAAACGGCCACTCCCTTTATTCTCCCACCCAGAACCTTTAATTCTTGTATCCATGAGACCCAGAGATAGCAGTTTAGAGAAAAACACAAGAAAGCAAAAGGGGTTTTGAACAGGAGGCAGTTTGTTTCAAAGGGGTGAGGTAAACACCTTCCGATAGGCCTCTTTCTTAAAATCTCTGTTGCCCCTTTTCCACAGTGTAGATTACCAAAGCCTTTATTGGAGAGGTCGCTTCTTCCAGGAAATCTCCTTGATCCCTCCAGATTGAGCTGAAGTCCCTCCTCCCCGCCCTCAATCCTCTCAGGGTGCACCGTAGCTTTCTTATTGAAGCATTTAACACACAGTTTTATAACTGCCTACTCTGTATTCCCAGTAAACCAGAAGCTTTCTGAGCAAAGGGACTGAGCCTTGCTTACTGTCACATTTCAACAGTCCCAAAGCCTGGCACAGAACAGATACTCAGTAAATGTCAGCAGTGTGGAAAAATAAATGAATGGATGGATCTCAGCAAAAGCATTTGGTATGTGGGCAACATACCACATTTACCAAAATAAAATTGGCTTTATTGGCTTCCTCAACCCTGTTTTTCTTTCCCCACTTATGCCATTCCTCTCCTACTAGCTCCTTTGCTAAGAAACCAACAGGCTCGCAAAACATTCACCACCTTCCAGGTGTGTGACACATCTTTGCCCACCTTCTCTTACCTTTGTCCAAAGTTTGCCTGATGCTGGTCATAGTCCCCAGGTGTAGCACCTGGCAGATTACTTCCTTCCCCACCTGGCTCTTGGGGTCTTTGACCTGGAGGACACTCGTGACAGATGTGGTCCCATTGGGGTGTGAGAGAATCTCAGTACTGTTTTCAATCCCTGACCCAGAGACCTTCCAGGAGATCACAGGGGCTGGGCGGGCATTGGCAGAGCAAGTGATATTTACGTGGTCTTCGAAAAATTTATAGTGAAGGAACACTGTGGGCTGTACTGGGACAAAAAAAAAAAAAATGATGGTCTGCCATCAGTTAAGCACCACATTCTCCTCAGAGGATGAAGGAAGATCTTTACAGAAAGACACTGGGGGCTCAAGACATAAGATGGCACATCCAACCCAAACTGGGGCATCTCAGTTCTTCCTGTGTCTAATTCTCTGGCCGGCAGGATGGAAACTGGCCTAGTACAACCCTGCAACAAGAAAAATCCTCTCTGTCGTTTCTCTGCAGGGGAATTAGCTGAATGGATAAAGGGCATCTTCTTTCCCATACAGTCCAGAGCTTAATTATTCTGTTCTCTTTTTCCACGGGCAATGCAGCACCTCTGCCTTCTTCTGGGTATCCCTCTCATAGTCTGACAATAGTCACCAATCAGCACTTCCATACAGGTAGCTTGCACTTCTCAGAAGTACCAGGGCAGTTTCAGAACAGAGAGCCCGTAGAGGGGCTGCTGGTTAGGGATGGCCTTTCTCTGCTTGGAGCTGGACCAGGGAATGAGATGCATGGAGGAGACTTGGAAAGTCCCTGCTTGGAATATCCATAAAAAATGTAAATTAGAAATTCACATGCCAAGAACTAGAAAATCACAGAATGACAGTTGGAAAGACCTTAGAGATCACCTGAATGGAGTTAAAACAACTAGTTAATGAGAAAAGGATATTATTTTAGTCCAGCTGTAATCCTGTTCCCTTCCAAAAGTCCCTTGACTGATGAATTCATTGCCATCGTATATTTTTCAATGTGCAGTTTATCTCTGCTGAGCAAATGCAGTTTTGCTTTCCTGTGGTTGCTTCAGAGCCCTCAAGATAATTAAAGGGCAGTAACTAAATGAAAGCCTGGTCTGTGCTTAGAGGTTCAAGAGGTGGGAGGGTGACAGTGGGCTGGAGGAAATGGGGCCAAAGGCTGTGGCTTTTTCCAAAGAGTACCCAGATACTAATGTCAAGGGGCACTGGGGGAAGACAGATAAAAGTGAGGGAAGATGAGTAGGGTTGACATGGTGAGACTGGGTGGCAAGGTGCTCTGGTATATCCAAGGATGACTTAGATGAAGGCTGTAAGGTGTAGCTGGAAAGGGTCAGAATGGAAAAGAATGGGGTTACTACCCGGAAGACTCAGGGGAGTGTGGTTTTCAGGCAAAAACTATTACAAAATATTAAGGGTAAAGTATGGGGGGAATAAGAAGAAGGAGGAGAAGAAGAAGAAGAAGAAGGAGGAGGAAGAGGTGGAGAAGAAGGAAGAAGGAAGAGGGAAGAAGGAGGAAGAAGGAGGAGGAGGAAGAGGTGAGGAAGAGGAGGAAGAAGTGGCAGGGGGAGGAGAAGCAGGAGGATGGAGGGAGAAGGGGAACAAGAAAAAGTAACAGAAATGAGAATGACACAAGAAGGAAAAAGATGAAAAGTGATGAGGAAGGGGGAAGGGAGGAAGGAAGGAAGGGAGGAAGGAAGGAAGGAAGGAAGGAAAGAAGGAAGGAAGGAAGAAGGGAAGGAGGAGAGAGAAAAAAAGGAAAGGAAAGAAGGAAGAAAGATTGGAGGCAGGGGGAGAGGAAAAAAGGATACAAAGAGACAGAAGACATAGAATCAAGAAGAAAATCTGACATAAGATTCTGCAGAGAGGATTCACTATAGGCAAAAATAAGTGAAATATATATATATATATATATATATATATATATATATATTTTTTTTTTTTTTTTTTTTTTTTTTTGGTGTTGCCATATGTCCCTCGCACTCTTGTCTACTGAGCATCCTCTTACCCCAGGTCCAATATTCTTAGTGTGTTCAAACTCTCACTTTAACATTCCTGATAACTATGTCTAAATTTGTCTTTTCCCTTCTAAACCTACCACCAACTGTGCTATGCTCCAAAGTTATGCCTCATTCCCACTTCTTAATTCTTGATCTCAGTTATGTGTCAGTTAAAAGGAGAGGAATCTTGTCAAACTAACCCTATTGGATTGTAAAAGAATGCTTATTATCCAGTTAAATCTCTAGTTGGCCTCAGGTATGAAAGGCCTTTATGGTACATCCTCTTTCAATCCCGAGAGAACTACATTAAACCAAAATGAGAGGTACCACATACCTGGCTTCAGGTTATCCCAATATGGCTCTTTCCTTAGATACAAAAATGTTTATGCTGTTAGGGAATTTACAGATAATCTATTCTATAATTATTGTGTAGATAAATAAACTCTGCTTCAGAGAGTGGACGGGACTCTTCCAGGGTCACATGATTGCTAATGGCAAAGCCAGGTCAGAATCATATCACTACTTAGGAGAACCCCATTATCCTCACCATCGTCCTTAATTTACCCTTGCTGACAACACAATTCCTCAGAGCAAAGATAACTCCAGGCAGAGATTCAATGTGGCCCCACGAACTCTTCCAATAACCATAACTACATTATGGTAGACATGAGAGGCTAAGTTTCTTCTTATAAACCTTTCTGAGGTTAAGATCCTGAAAAACTAGGCACCACCACCATGTTCCAAACATTCTTGAAAACAACATTTCTAGCCAGAGACAATGTATTATCAGAGATTCTCACCAGAGAGGGTGAGGCAGGCTTTTCCCGAGATCTTCCCGGAACCAAAAGTATTGAAGAGGCACTTGTAACACCCTTCATCCTCCAGGGTGGTATTCCAGAACGTAATGGTTGAGTTCTTGAGTTCCAGCTGGGTGATGTTTATCTTGTCCTTATAGGCAGGCTGGACTACAACCCCATGGTTCTTGCTGAAGGTGACCATGTTTTCTGGGCTTACAGCCTTGATTTTCTGCCATGTCACAATCAAGACTTCCTCGGAATTTTGCAGAGAGCATCTTAAGGAAGCAGGTGTGTTCAGCAGCTCTTCTTCATCTTGGGTCACCACTTTTATCATAGAATCATAAAAGAACATTCATATTTTAAAATTTAATACATACAAGTATACATTTTTCTGATTTAAAAATGCATGTTCAAAGTTAAATATAGAAAACATAGGGGAAAATGCTGGAGGAAGGGGGATAGTGGAGAAGAAGGGGGATCTGGATTTTCCTTGTCCTTTCAAACATAGCCTTATTGAGGTCAGAATACGTGGAACACCCAGGAAATAGATCTGCGGAGCGACAGAAGGATCTCCACGGTTGGAAGGAGACAGCCTGGCAGGATTGAGATGCATGTGTGTGTGAGTTGTGGGAGATAAAATAGTGCTGTTATGGAGAAGTGGGAACCCCTTCTGTGAAGAGACAAAAGGGAAACAAAGAGGGGCTGTGAAAGCACAGCAGTGAGTTAGCACAAGAGGAAAACCTCTCTGGACCATGGACTAGGGAGCGAAAAGTACTGAGTGTACTAGTTTGTGCAGTCTTGGAGCTGAAACTCTCAGGTTCTGGAAGTGCACGAGTTTCTTTGGAGCAGAGCTGTGGCACGCAATCCCGGGGAGGAGGGAGCTGGTCCCAGAGTGTACAGCATGATGTAGTGATCTTTGGGGCACAATGGAAGAGAACAATCTCCTTCCTGGACTACTTTAGAAAGAGAGTTTATTGCCTCCGCAAGGACAAAAGACCCTGCAGATGTGAGCCAAAGGTCTTTCATCAGCCGGGTGGAAAGGCTCTACTCTGGAGCAGGAGAGCAGATCACTGTCACGCCAGTCCTTTAAGACTTTGGGTTTTGTGGGGCGCCTGGGTGGCGCAGTCGGTTGAGCGTCCGACTTCAGCCAGGTCACGATCTCGCGGTCCGTGAGTTCGAGCCCCGCGTCAGGCTCTGGGCTGATGGCTCAGAGCCTGGAGCCTGTTTCCGATTCTGTGTCTCCCTCTCTCTCTGCCCCTCCCCCGTTCATGCTCTGTCTCTCTCTGTCCCAAAAATAAATAAACGTTGAAAAAAAAAAAATTAAAGACTTTGGGTTTTGAATCCCAACTGAGTGCCAAGGAGAAGGCACAGGAGAATTGTGGCTCAGGGCAAGCTGACCGCCCTCGCTATTCTGTGAGGACTGCCTGAACAGCGTGGGTTGAGATCGCTAGTTGAGATCCCAATCTGAGACCCCTAGATTGGGAGGACGTCCCTTTTCCCCCCCTAACAACAATGCGGTGGGACTTCAGAGAGCAGCACAGCTGCCCCCAGTGGAGGCCGGACACACTTACACCTAACCCCTCCTCTCCATGCCTAGCAACTGCTTATTTACTGAAACAAGACTGACCCAACACAGCCGGCCTTGCTTCCAGACCAGCACAGCCACCCCCCAAACACACACCAACAGACAACTCTGGGTTTCTTTTTTCATTTTTTTCATCCCTCTTCTTTTTTTCTTTTGGAATCAGGCTCAGACTTTCTGATTTGTTTTTTTGTCATTTCTTATTACATATTTTTTATTTGTTTTTTTAAACCCTTTTCTTTTTCCTTCCTTTCTTTTTCCTTCTGCTTTCCTGGGGGGGGCCCCCGAGTTCGTTTCCTTTCACTTTCCTTGGAATCAGCCTTACAGTTTTTGATTTTCTATTTGGTTTTCTTTTCTCCCCTTTCTTTTTTCTCTTTTAATGGGATCTGGCTCCCCTCCCCTTCCTTTCTTCCCCCAGGGTTGCTTCAACAAACAAATGAAAGCACACCTAGTTAAAGGTCCAAACACTCCCCACTACAAGCAAGGAGGAGCTCTGCGGAGGACTGACCAGTGGCATAAAGCAACCAAAATGCAAGAGGAGAGTACACTCAACAAAACACCAGAAACACTTCCTAGAGTGCCAGGCCCTCAACAGTGTATGACCCTTTTTTAATATAGCATTACTCTTAGGTATAGGACACATAATATGCTTTTAAAATACACAAAAGACAGAAACTTAGCCAAAATGACAAGATGGAGGAATTCTCTCCAAAGGAAAGATCAAGAAGAAATCACAGCCAGAGACTTGCTCCAAACAGATATAAACAATATAAATATATTCAGAACAATAGTCATAAGCCTAATAGCTGGGCTTGAAAAAAGCATAGAAAACACCAGAGAAACCCTTGCTGTAGAGATCAAAGACCTGAGAACTCGCCGAGATGGATTTTAAAAAATGCTATAGATGAGACACAAAATAAACTAGATATAGTGACAGTGAGGACCGAAGAGGCCGAGGAGAGAATAGGTGAAATAGAAGATAAAATGATGGAATATAATGAAGCTGAAAAAGAGGGAAAGGAAATTACTAGACCACAAGGGGAGAATTAGAGAACCAAGTGATTCTATAAAATGAAATAATATCCATATCATTGAGTCCCAGAAGAAGAAGAGCAAGAAAAGGAGCAAAGGCTTATTTAAATAAATTATAGCTGAGAACTTCCCTAATCTGGGGAAGGAAACAGGCATCCAAGTCCAAGAGGCACAGAGAACTCCCTTCAAAATCAACAAAAACAGGTCAACACCATGACATATCATAAAGTAACTTGCAAAATACAAAGGCAAAGAAAGAATTCTGAAAGCAGCTAGGGACAAAAGGTCCTTAACCTACGAGGCTAGACACATAAGGTTAGAGGCAGACCTGTCCATTGAAACTTGACAGACCAGAAGAGAATGGCAAGAAATATTCAATGTGCTGAATAAGAAAAATATGCAGTCAAGAATCCTTTATCCAATGAGGCTGTCATTCAGAATAGAAGGAGAGATAAAGTTTCCCAGGCAAACAAAAACTAAGGGAAATTGTGACCACTAAACCAGTCCAGCAAAAATTCTAAGGGGGACTCTCTGAGTTGAAAGCAGCAAAGACTACAAAGGACCAGAGAACATTACCAGAAACACAAAATCTATAGGTAACACAATGGCGCTAAGTTCGTATCTTTCAATAAGCACTCCGAATGTAAATGAATTAAATGTCCTACTATAAAGACATAGAGTATCAGAATGGATAAAAAAAAACAAACAAACAAACAACAAGATACATCTATATGCTGCCTACAACAGACTCATTTTAGACCTGAGGACACCTGCAGATTGAAAGTGAGGGGATGGAGGGGTGCCTGGGTATCTCAGTCTGTTGAGCATCTGACTTTAGCTCAGGTCATAATCTCACAGTTGTGAGTTTGAGCCCCACATCGGACTTTGTGCTGATAGTGCACAGTTTGCTTCAATTCTCTGTCTCCCTCTCTCTCTGCCTCTCCCTTGCTTGCTGTCTCTGTCAAAAATAAATAAACATTAAAAAAAATTAAAAAAAAAAGAAAGTGAAGAGATGGAGAACCATCTATCATGCCAATGGATATCAAAAGAAAGCCAGAGTACCACACTTATAACAGACCAACTAGATTTTAAAACAAAGACTGTAACAAGACATGAAGAAGGTCATTATATTATATTTAAGGGGTATATCCATCAAGAAGAGCTAACAATTGTAGCACCCAACATAAAAGCACCCAAATATATAAATCAATTAATCACAACCTAAGCAAACTCACTGCTAATACCATAATAGTAGGAGACTTTAGTACTCCATTTACAACAATGGACAGATCATTTAAGCAGAAAATCAACAAGGAAACAAAGGTTCTGAATGACACACTGACCAGATGGACTTAACAGATAAATTCAGAACATCTCATCCTAAAGTAGCAGAATACACATTCTTCTAGAGTGCACATGGAACATTCTCCAGAATAGATCACATATTGGGTCACAAATCAGTCCTCATCAGGTACCAAAAGACTGAGATAATATCATGCATATTTTCAGATCACACTATCAAACTTGAAATTAACCATAAAAGAAAAGGTGGAATGCCCTCAAATACAGGGAGGGTAGAGAACATCCTACTAAAGAACAAATGGGATGACCAGAAAATTAAAGACAAAGTTAAAAAATACATGGAAGCAAATTAAAATGAAACACAACAGTCCAAACCTTTTGGGATGCACGAAAGGCAGTCCTAAAAGGAAAATGCAATGCAATTCAGGGCTATCTTAAGAAGCAAGAAAGGTAGAAAAGTCCCAAATAAACAACCTAAACTTATACCTATAGGAGCTAGAAAAGGAGCACCAAATAAAGCCCAAAGCTAACAAAAGGAGGGAAATAATAAATCCTACAGCAGAAATAAACAATATAGAATAAAAAAATCCAGGAGATGGGCGCCTGGTGGCTCAGTCAATCAAGTGTCCGACTTCGGCTCAGGTCATGATCTCGAGGTCTGTGAGTTCCAGCCCTGCATCGGGCTCTGAGCTGACAACTTCAGTGCCTGGAGCCTGCTTCAGATTCTGTGTCTTCCTCTCTTTCTGCTCCTTCCCCACTTGTGCTCTCTCTCTCTTGCTCTCAAAAATAAATAAAACATAAAAAAAAAAATACAGTAGAACAGATCAATGAAACTAAGAGCTGGTCATTTGAAAGAATAAACAAAATTGATAAACCCCTAGCAAGACCTCTCAAAAAGAAAAGAGAGAGGACCCACAGAAATAAAATCATGAATGAAAGAGGAACGACCACAACCAACACCACAGAAATACAGTTATAAGATAATACTATGAAAATCATATGCCATAAAACTGGACAGTCTGGAAGAAATGGACAAATTCCCAGACACATGCTACCAAAACTGAAACAGGAAGAAATAGAAAATTTGAACAGGCCCATAACCAGTAAAGAAATCAAATCTATAATCAAAAAGCTCCCAACAAACAAGCGTTCTGGGCCAGATAGCTTCCCAGGGGAATTCTATTAGACATTTAAAGAAGAGTTAGTACCTATTCTCCTCAAACTGTTCTAAAAATACAAAGGGAAAGAAAGCTTCCAAACTCATTCTTGAAGACAGCAAAACCTTGATTCCAAAACAAGACAAAGACAGCACTAAAAAGAATTACAGATCAATATCCTTGATGAACCTGGATGCAAAATTTCTCAAGAGATACTGGTAAATCGAATCCAACAGTACATTAAAATAATT